GCAGCTCCTCAGACAGGTAGTGTCGAATATTTTGGCGGGCTGAGTGGATGAGCCGGGAATCGATATCCAGGCCCACCATGCGGGATGGACCCCACTTACAGGCAATGCTCAGGGTCAGATGGCCCACATTGCAGCCCAGATCTAGGACGTCCCGACCCCGAAACCACTCAGGCTTCAACACTCGAAGGCGCCCATCCTCACAGGAAGGATTGCGGTAACCATAGTACTTGCAATAATTCCCATACTGGAACTTGAGCTGTTGCTTTTTGAAGCCTGCTGCAGGTAATGGGTGGAGGTGGTGGTGGTGGTAATGGTGGTGGTGGTGGTGGTGGTGGTGGTGGCGGCCTCCCCCACTCCCTCGGCCCTTTTCCTTGGGACCCTGGCCTCCACCCCTAGCCCCTGCCTCTGACTTGCTGGAAGTCCTGCGACGTTTGCGATGTCGTGAGGAGGAAGACGGGGGTGCAGAGGTAACTGAGGCAGCTGGAGGGGCTGAAAGGGAGCCTGAGGGACCCTGTAGGGCAGATGGAAGGGGAGACACGACCTCATCCCTGCAGTTGATGGCTGTGTTGAGTTCATAGGGCTGGGGGGCATCCCGGTTCTGGCCCCTATGCCGCTGCTGCTGTGTGGTGCCCTCCCCATGGAGTGAGGGAGTGAGGGGGGCTGGGGGGAGCACAGAGTGGCTATCATTCCCTCCAGTTGCCTGCTGCTGCTGCTGGTGGTGCTGTCCCCGGTGTCTATGCCGCTTCCGACCAGTCTTGAGTGGCGATGCAAGAACTACCTGGGCCTCATCAGTGCAAGTATTGAGACTGAGCGGGTCAGTAATATCTTTGGGGATGAGGATTTCCACTGGATCTCGCCCCTTGGCCGGAAGTGGAGACGACTTAGGGGTCTCTGCATTGAGTGCGCGGCTCACTTCCTCATCCAGGAGACTATTCAGGTTCAGTGGATCAAAGATATTGCCCCCCAGGAGAAAATTGGAGGGTAACACAGAATCACAGTCCGAATTAACCCGCCTGCGTCTCTTGAAGGCCGGATGTTTGAAGCCTCCACCACCCCCACCTACGTTACAACTATTTCTCCTCTTGCCCCCGCCTCCCCCAGGGGGCCGGTGGGGCTGATAGCCATTTCGGGGTCGAGGAGGGGCAGGGGGGCCCAGTTCTGTTCCGCCCCCTCCCCGTCGCTCCTCCCCCACGTCAGGGGGAGCTGCTCGCCCGTGGGGATCCGACAAGCGCGCCTCCCCATGCGACTGCGCCTGGGGGCCGCCCCCTCGTTGCTGCTGCGACTGGCCTCCCCGAGTGGATGTAGCCCCAGGGTTCTCCTTGCCAGCCCCAGGAGCCGGGGCCCCCGCCGAGTGTGCGCGCGGGCCCGGCCCACGCTGCGTCCCGCCGCAGAGCTCCCCGGAGGCGGCCTCTCGGTGCGGTTGCACCGTGGGGCCGCCCCCTCCGCCCGACTCATCTTTGAGCGGCGGCGGCGGGGCCGGCACCAGAAACGGCTCCTTCTCCGCCGCCATCTCGATCATTTCCTCCCCTTATTCCGTCCCAGTCGAGGGCAACGAGGGGGGTGCCTGGGGGCTTAACCCCCCTCCCTAGAGCCCGCTCCCTTCCCCCCCTTCCCCGAGTGCGCGCGCAGCTCTGCTCTTCTCGCCTAGTCTCGCGCCCAAGCGCCTCCCCCGAAGCGCGCCCCACTCGCCCGCGAGACCAAAACAAGATGCCCGCGAGAACCGAACTCGAGGAATCAACCGCGCGTGCGCCGACCTCTTTCTCCTCCACCACTACCGCTTCGCCGCGAGCGCGCACTGCTAGAGCGCGTTCCTCTCGCCCCTGAATCACGCATGCGCACTCCGCCACCACCCTGGTTGCGCGCGCATGAGTACGAACCAACTTAACGGCTCCGGGAGTTTAAATATAGCCCACCTCAGCCCCCCCAAAAAGCCCACCACCCCAAACTGACACCCTACTTCCCTTCGCAGCTCTGTCCGTCCCTACTGATATCCTTTGTCTCTGCCGCGCGATCCCACCCACCGTAGGCGGGGGACGGGGAGCTGGTGTGAAAAGGTCTCCTTGACACCCGACCCTTGTTCCTGAGGAATGAGTCTCAGCGGTCTCCGCCCGGCTCTAAACCCAGCAACCTCCCTACCCCGCCTCCTTCCTCCCCCTAGCGGGCAGCGCCTGCGCACACCCTTTTAGGCTTGCGCGGGTAGATACAGCACGTGCTGGAGCTAACGCCCCGCCCTCCACCCTAGGGGCGGGGACTGTTACGTCGCTTCCTCAGATTTGGTACACGCAACGTGCGTCAGCACGACTTGGAGGGGGCGTGTCCAAAGAGTGGGGCGGACCTCATGAATTATTCATAATTTGGTCGCCTTCCTCCCCATTACCCCCCCTACTTAGAAAGGCTTCCGAGGGAACGGAGGGTGAACCTAAAAGTAGAGGAAGGGAAGGAGAGGAGCGTACAGACAGTTTTCCTACGAACTGTTCTCAGTAAAATACAATAAGTCATTGTAACTCACCCCCCTGGGAAATAGTCTCTGCTGAACTGAAAAAAAAAAAAAGGCACTAAAACAGCCGATCTTGTCCAACTTCCTCTTCCCCCGAAATGGCCGAGTCGTTCTCTCGCTCCTTCGCCTTACCCCATTCGCGATCACCTGGGGACACCACGCCCTCCTCTCCGACTCCACACCCACAACCCTAGCACCAACACCTCCTCCCACCACCCGACGCCTGCGCGCGAGCCCCCAGCCCGCGGACTGCGACTCGACGCCCACCACAGCCACCAATAGCAGTACATTCACTACCACCACCGCCACCTCGCACGCAGGCCTTCCCAAACACACGCTGGCTTCACGCAGCCTTATATAAAAACGAGTGTGGGCGGGGAAGAGGGTTCGGCCTTGGGCCCCCTGCCTCGGCCAATGGGGAAGAAGCTATTCGGCGCCCTTTCCACAGGGTGCTAAGGTGGCGCGTTCTCCCTGCCAACAGAGCTTGGGGAGTGGGTCCTGTGGCAGAGAAGAAGGCGGGAGAGGCGAGAGTGGCGTTGCGGATAGTCTCAACTAAAATATCAAGACAGGGCGTGAAGGAAACTAAAAGGAAGAATAGGAATCAGGAAACGAAAAGGAGAAGGAAAAGGCAGTCTGGGGTAGAAAGAAAAGTTAGTAAAAGAAAGATGTGCTTCATGAACGATCAGGCGCTGCTCCTGCCGCCTAAAAAAGTGAGGCCACTAAGGATTATGGGATTTGTAGTTTTACGGGGCGTTCGATTGGACTATGGCGGAAGTAACAGTTGCGCAAACGCAGAAGCAGCTCCAACTGCGCATGCGTTTCAGTCCTGGACGCATACCGCTGGGGTGGCAGCGAAGCTAGTGCGAGTCCTCACGCCTTTTCTTGGTGGCGGGAAAACTGGGTCGCGGTTGGAGGGGTTTGCAGAATTGCTGCAGTGGCTCATTCTGCTCCTTGCCTTTAGGTTCTCCTTGTTCCAGAAGGTAGCTGGCTCTTTTCTGGTTGCAGATGAAAGTGCTAGGCGCTGCAAATCATCGCACCCGTCCCCTGAGGAGTTTTCTCTTCAGGACCACAACCAACTCTCATCCCTCCTTAGAATCTCTACCGGAAACCTACCCGCAACAAACAAACAAAAGTCACCCAATATTCTGGCGGGCAACGACGGGCTGAGAGGGAATGAGGATGCTGGTGCCTCCACCGGGGGTGGGGACGCGGGCAGGCAGCTGAGGGGAAATTATGGCGGGGGTTCCTGAGGTGAAAGGGAGGCTAGCAAGCCATTGTTCTATCCACTGAGGGGAGTCAAGGACTTTTTGGCTCTGGTACCTTCGATCTTAATTGCCGTCCTTAAGAGCAAATTGGTGAGGGAAGAGAGCGGGAAAATGCGGATCCCCAGAAATTCTTCCCTCTGGTTTGAAAGGCGGAATTCGGACTTTTACTGTTCCAGACCTTGGGACCTTGTGAGGGGAAATGGTGCAGGGATCTGGGAGTTCATAGGAATGTGCTTCTTTAAGTGAAAGCAACACACAAAGTCGAGTTAGAGGTCGGTAACGGGCACCTGTGGAAGTGTTGCAGCTGGCAGATAGCAAGAGTTAGAATGAAATCAGCGCTCACGAAAGAAAACCAGTGTTTTGGTGCTAAGAAGCCCTCTGAACGAATAAGCCTCCGTTCATTTATTGATAGGATTCTGTACAAGGTTTAGTTCAGGCAAGTTACCACAGTAAATGTCTTGTTAGGTGTGGGCAGTAAAGGTAGCTGGAATCTTGTTTTTACCTTCTTTCTTGTGAAATTATGCTGGCTGAGGAAAAAAAAAAACCCACTATGGTTATTAATGGAGGCATGAAAATAAGCAGGAGTCCACATGCCGTTAGACATTGATGCCAAAAGGAAATCAGGCTCCAGCTTAAAGGAGATTTTAAATAACCTGTTCCACGCTCGTGGAGCCTGTGCAGACTGTGTGTCTTGAGGACAATTCTAAAGGGTTTACTTGTATTCTCTTAGACCAAGGATTCCAGGAACAATATAAAGAGGGAATAGTTGGATAGTTAGGAGAGAGAAATTTGTGAACACATTCTAAATGGGGGGAGGAAGGTTAATGGTTTTTGAAAAATATTGACATGACTGAATTGTTATTTAGCTAGATCAGTTCTCAAGCTTACTGGTCTCAGAACCCTTCTATACTCTTAAAAGTTATGAAGGATTCTAAAGATTGGTTTATAGCTATGTATCTTTTATATCTATTGGTATTAACATATTAGAACTTGAAATGAGAACACTTAAAGTATTTAATTTTAAAATAATATGTTATAATTAATTATGTTGGTATAAATAATATTTTTATGAAAAACATTTTCCTAAATGAAAGAAATTTAGTGTGAAGAATGGTGGTGTTTTACATTTTTGCAAGTCTCTTTCATATCTGGCTTAATAGAAGACAGCTAGATTTTTATCTGTTTCTGAATTCAATCTGTTATGATTGCTTGTTTTGGTTGAAGTATATGAGAAAATCCAGCCTAACATGGATATGTAGTTGGAAAGGGGAGGGGACCCCCAGGGGTCTTTGGATCACACTTCGAGAACTGCTGAAGGAGATGATTTCATTTTAAAATCACTGTGATGACCTTTAGTGTTCTAAGTGAAAGAAAACTTACTCTTTTTTGGAACACCTCATTCACCTTCCCTTAGTTCCCTTCATTCGTTATTTCCAAGTTCTTTTTCCCCTTTTCACCTTTCTTACTTATGTTGAGTGGGTAGGATCTGATAGTGCAATTTTCCTTTACTTTCATACTTAAAACTTTATTGGATTTTCCCCCTTCTCTCATCTGAGGTAAAGCAGAAACAAAACAAAAAAACCCTTCATATGTTATTCCTGTCTCCAGAGCCCTTGGTTATTTAGTAGCTGGTCAGATGAAAGTTGGTGGTATTTTGTGTATTTATTAACTTTCTGGTTTTAAAAAGTTTTCTCTCTCTCTGCACTACATTTTAATATTTCTTATTGTGGAAGAAGAAAATTCATCTGAAACAGAGGAGCAGAGACTTGAGTTGTCAGAGTGACTTCTTGGCTTTCCCTTCTCTATTGATCAGGTTAGATATTTTCTTTAAAAGTAATGTTCTTCATCAAACACACTGTAGATTAAGGGGAATTATTATATAATGCTGCTAATAAATTTACTGTATCTTATTAACAATGATCCACAATTTTATCCAGTTGGTTGGGGCGCCAGTAACATACTTTGGCCTAGAGAGGTCAGTATAGGTTTAGGTAATGATTTGAACCTAAATGCTGGAAAATTTTCCATTTTTAGGTGGATCAAAACACTCTATTTTATTTAAAGAATTTGGAATAAAAAAATCACTTTTGATGTGGTAACATCGGCAGGTTATAAAATGCTTGAGATATGCGGGTCGGGGGATGGGTTGGCCTGGTGATGGGTATTAAAGAGGGCACGTTCTGCGTGGAGCACTGGGTGTTATACACAAACAATGAATCATAGAACACTACATCAAAAACTAATGATGTAATGTATGGTGATTAACATAACAATAAAAAAATTTAAAGAAAAATGCTAGAGATATGCAAGGGGGTACAGTAAAAAGCTCTTTTCCACCCCCAGCCACCCAGTTCTATTTCCTAGAGACTCACTTTTGTCAGTTTATTGTGTATTCTTCCAGAGATAGTTTATGGATAAACAACCATATTATGTAGATGCACATTTTAAAAAATCAAATATTGTCGTCTCAAATAGACTAATTTTCGTTTTGCTTTCCCCATTTAGTATAGCTCACTTTGTAATTTATATTACCTTCATAGGACTTTTCATGATCTTTTTTGGAATTCTGGAATCTGAGAGAAGTGTTTGTCATTTGTGGTCAAATTAATATTCATTTTGCAGCCTAATTTTATTCAGTTTCTAGCTTCTATTTAGAATTATCATAAAGAAGACCAGTTTGCTGCTGTGTTTGTCCCCCAGTTACCCACTTGCCTTTTTTCCCAGAGTCAGTTGACTTAGGGGTTGGTGGTGATGAGTTAAGATGGAAATAGTGAGGAAATGTGCTCCTTAATACAGAGGAAAAGTAGTTGCTGCAGAACTGCACACCTGAATTATTCACATTTATAGAAGTAATACAAGGAACAGAAAAATACCAAAAGATAATTTGAAAATACACTTAGCCATGTTGTACACACACTAAGTCAAGCCCCCAATACCTTTTGAATTCATCTTAGGATCTAGAGGGAGGAACTCTATACCCTGAGCAACTGAATGTTCACTATAGTTTGGTCATTTGAGGGTCTAAAATTTTCAAATCCTTTAAAGGGATGTGTATATATCTTATATATAAGATCCATTTTATGCTGCTTTTGAGTCTCTTTATAGTGGGAGATGACATAGTTGGAAGATTGAGTTTCAGTTCCAGGGCCTTCAAATTACTCAAAACCAACAGCCAGAAATAAGATCATTGAGCAGAATAGGTGTGTTATTAGTAGAATTTAGAGGCAAAAGGCCTGGGTTCATCTTGGCTCTACCATGTATTAACACTGAGGCTTTGGGCAAATCACTTAATTGCGTTTCGTATATTTTTTTTCATCTGTAAAAAAAGGGAGCTGGCACTTTATGACCTCTGTAGACCCTCCCAGAGCTACAATGCTTGTTATAAAAATAAGAATGGCTTACATGTGTTGAGCCTAAAGAAAACTGGGTAGAAGGGTCTTAAGAAGTTTAAGCTGATAAAACCAGGGCATTTTTCGGACCCCTGGGTGGCTCAGATGGTTAAGCGTCTGCCTTCGGCTCAGGTCATGATCCTGGAGTCCCGGGATCCAGTCCCGCATCGGGCTTCCTGCTCGGCGGGGAGTCTGCTTCTCCCTCTGACCCTCCCCCCTCTCATGCCCTCTCTGTCTCTCTCTCTCTCTCTCAAATAAATAAATAAAATCTTTAAAAAAAAACATTAAAAAAAAAACCCAGGGCATTTTTCTTCTAATTGCAGAGTAGAAATAGTATCGATAGTGGAAAGCAAATTGGAAAAAAATGTACAAATTATTGCAACGTCACAAGATGAGCCTTGGCACTCTGCTAGGCGGCAAATGGCTTATAGCTGTGTGCAGATACTAATCTCTTCGGCCTTTGATGTGGCTGGAGGTCCCCCTACTCCCACCCTTCAGTCGTCTATGGCTGTGAAAAGCCTGATCCTTTTAATCCAGAATACCGGGAAATACAATTTTCTGTGTATTTCAGCGTGTCTTTTTAATATATGCTTTCTATGTGTGCTGTGATATTAAAATGGGTTTGAAGCACTGAATTAGACTATTGGGATATACCATGCCACAGTTAATTAGTGCAGACTTTCAAATCCTGAATTATCATCTATCAATTACCTATTATGTTTGAATCCCTCTAATCCTCAATTTCTCCAAGTATAAAAAAGTACGATCTCAAAGATTTACTCTGAGAATTAAATGAGAAGACATATGTAAAGGGTAAAGAATATAGCTGGTGCTCAATAAGTGTCATCTATTATTATTAGTCACGATTTTGGTAATGATAATGAAGCACACTGATGTAGTATAGAACATCTGCGAGTAGATAGCTATAAGATATAGAGTGAAGGTATTAGATTCCTATTGCTAGCTTCCCTGGGGACCTCTGCCGGTTCTACCAAATATTTTTGAGCCACGAATAGAGAGAGATTGCTAGAATCCAGCACATTGGAAAATTTATTGGACTAGAAGATCTAAGTAAAGGGAAGATAAAGATTATGGTGATGTTAAAAAGGGGGGTTCTCTAGGCAGAGGGACCTCTGAATTAGGTCAGAGAATTGCCAGATTATTTGTGTCTTAAGTATTTAGGAGAACCTTGTGAGATGAGTTTATCCTTCTGAAGAAAACTGTTACTTTTTTTTTTTTAAAGATTTTATTTATTTATTTCACAGAGAGACACAGCAAGAGAGGGAACACAAGCAGGGGGAGTGGGAGAGGGGGAAGCAGGCTTCCCGCCGAGCAGGGAGCCCGATGAGGGGCTCGATCCCAGGACCCTGGGATCATGACCTTAGCCAAAGGCAGACGCTTAATGACTGAGCCACACAGGCACCTTGAAAACTCTTACTTTTTAACTCCCAGGACTGTTCCTACTACAACTACTGATGCTTCCATCTGTTAACAACAAGACAGGAGGCCCAAAATGCAGTTGCTTCTATTAAGCCCCATGTCACCAAAACAAGACTTAAAGTTTTGGCTCTCCCAGAAATAGAATCTTAGTTTACAGCCCATCAGGAATCACCTGATCAGCACTAGTTAGGTAATCTGCCTAAGAGACCCCTACCATCTCCTACAGGAAAGTAAACTTGGGATAGCTAATTCGCTTTTTTGCCTAGTGTACCTTCCTTGTTCCTGCTCCTCCTGCCAGTACAAGTCTTTCATTTCGTACAGCTCCTCTGAGTTTCTTTGTACCCACTAGATCAGATGCTGCCCAATTCATGAATCATTGAATAAAGCCAATAATATCTTCAAAATTTATTCAGTGAATTTTTTTTTTTTTAACGCATTGCTACCACTACCACTTCCACTATTGACTAGTGCCTGCCTTATGTTGGACAGGACTCTAGGCACTTAAAACACTGAGGATTGTTGCTTATCTTTAAAACAGTAAGTCTCATTATCCCCTGGCATGCGACTGACGCTGCTGAGGAGGTAGAAGTGTAGTCCAGAGGGCCAAAAATGTAGTTCAGGAGTTCCAGGCAAAAGATCCTGAGCCCAAGAAGACAGAGAGAGAAGAAAGTTTAAAATCATGTTCAATCGGAGTTCTAGCAGTTACTTTCTTTTTTCTAACAGAGGCACAAAGAAAGTGTAGCTTCTGAGCTGAATGATGACAACATTGCAGAGTAAAGAAGGTGAGTCAAGAGTGAAGGAGGTTCACATTTTGTACGTTTCTCTCAGTTTTCCCTTCTTTCTCAGTCCTTGGTCATTTCGATGCCCTTGCCACCAAAGGGAAGCTCAGTCCATGTATATTTTAACATCTATAACACAAGTTTGAATGTGGTAAATGCCACCAGAGAGGCATGAAGTGTTGTGGAAGCTGAGAAGAAAAAGATATTACTTATACCTGTGAGGATCAGTGTAATTTTCATTGTACTAGTTTGTTTTCTTTCCCCCCCCAATTTTTCTAACTTCCCATAAAATTTTGTTTAAAGTTAAAATGAGCAAATTTTAAAAATTTCCATTTGAATTACTCATCTTCCTGCATGTTCACATCTGTCACCTTTGAACTACTCAGTAGTTCCTAAACTCCATCAGAATAATCTAGATGGCCTTGTAAAATGACAGATTCCTAGGCCTCCCAACTATTTCATCTGAATCTCAGGGGGTGGGGTGGGGTGGGAGAGGAGAGGCCTAGTAATCTGATTTTGTTAAAAAGCTCTCTCTCGATAATTCTGATATCCCCAGTCAATGGGCAGTGCAAATGCTTTCTGTGCTAGACTCTGTGTTTCATAAATTCCATTGGATAATCAAATTTCTTTCAGAATATGGGAAGTGGCCAAAGAAAACCTTTGCCCCACCTGCACAAAAATTGCATAGCTTGATGTGCTATAGCCCTAACTCACCCAAGGAGGAGACCCTGGGGATCAGTTCCCCAAAGGCCAGGTCAGAGAAGAAGGAAGAGAAAGCAACCACAGGAAATGGTCCAAGCAGTGGCCTGGAGAATAAAGGAAAGCCTCAAGACAAGCAAGCAGAGAAGAAAGAAAAGGTATCAGGCTCATTGACGGGTTCTAGTGGGACAGTTTCTCCTAGATATCCAGTCTAAACGATCTTTTATGTCGGGGAACTTTCAGTTTTTATTCCTTTCTTGGGGCTTCTATTTTCTTCTCAAAGAGGTAAAACAAAAAATCTTGATGAAAGCCTTTAGCTGGAAATAGCGGCTGGGTAGGGGTTGAGGTGGGATGGAGGTGAGAGTAGATGTGGTCAGAGACTTTATTTTTTATTTTTATTTTTTAAATTTTTTTGGTAAGATTTTATTTATTTATTTGAGAGAGAGAATGAGATAGAGAGCATGAGAGGGAGGAGGGTCCGAGGGAGAAGCAGACTCCCTGCCGAGCAGGGAGCCTGATGCGGGACTCGATCCCGGGACTCCAGGATCATGACCTGAGCCGAAGGCAGTCGCCCAACCAACCGAGCCACCCAGAGACCCCGGGATAGATGAGTGGTTTTCCTCTTCTGCCCTTGTCTCTGTAGGAAAGAGCAAGTCTCACCAATGCAGAATTTGAGGAGATTGTCCAGATTGTGCTACGGAAGTCCCTCCAGGAGTGCTTGGGTATGGCTTATAGGGAGAGAAGAAGATTTCGGTTAGACAAACTGTTATCTGAGGGGTAGAGTAAGTTGACATCTGTTCTCCTTCCTTCCAGTTTCCTAAGGAAGGAAATACTAGATGGACTTTGAAATATGTTTGAATAGTTCATCTTCTACCAACAGGACTATAACTAAACCACCTTAGACAGGGGGTACAGGCTTTTAGAAAAGTGAGTTACATTGACTTCAGAATAAAAATACAGTCTCAGATTGTTTTTTAAAATGTAACTTAAATTCATTTTTACATGTGTACAATCTACTTAGAAAAGATAAATTGTATTTCTCGGGTTCCAAGAACGTAGTTTCCATCTACCCTTGTACATTTCTGTTTCCAGTACTGTTTTAACATTATGTTCAGGGATTTGACTTTTGGAATAAAGAACTCTATAGTACAGGCCCTGAGGACTTCACCATATGTCCTGAGGAGAAGGGGAATAGTTTGACATTTTTAGCTATTCTTAGGTGTACTTCTGTTCTTAGAGAAAGTATCAGGAACAAATGATATAAAACACAGTGGCGTAAAATTTCTGGTATGTACACAAAATAAAATTGACATTACCTGGCCATCCTGGAATAAGGCAGATCAATCTGGAAAGGCTTGCCGAAAGATAAAGATTTGTAGTTTTTTTCTGAGAATTTGAAGACTTAAAGTTCTGTGATATGACAAAACTCCAAAGGTGGGCTCTTCCAGACAACAGGTGGAAGACATTTTAAAGGAAGGCTGCCATTTGGAAATAATCGAATCAGTATTTTCTTAATTGCTTCTCTGCATATAGTATTTTGTTTTGGGAGAGATGGGATCTAGCCTTGATTTTGCAGAGACTTCCTGTGCCCAGCCCATAAGATGCACCCAATTAGACAAGGAACGAGGAATTTCTTCTACTGATAATGATGATGCTGATGGGTAAGTTTGTCCCAGTGAGGCAAGTTGATCACAGGGTGGACTTAGCATCGGTAAATGGTTATCTGTCTATCTAGTCGTTCTCATATCTCTGTGGATTTCTCTCAGCTCAGGAAAGATAACTGTTTGAATTGGGAAAAATAGGCAAGTAGATGGATAAAATGGCCTCAGGAGGGCTTAGAGAGCCTAGGATTCTTCTGTCATCCTGACTTTTGCCCTTGGGTGTTTTTCAAAAGGAGGGTATGATAAATTCCTCCTTCTTGCCTTTTCATTAAAGAAAAAAATATTATTTTCAGAGAGAGGGTAATGGTACCTCATATTCTAGAGATTTCAGCCACTGAGGAAGCTGGAGTAACCTCTGTGAGAAAGACATCTAAGCCAGGCCAGCCAGATCCTGCACCCTCTCAGAAGAAATTCAATAGACCTTCCCTAATCAAAGGAAAGAAGAGAGCTCGTAAGTACAGTCAGATATACTTTCACATCTGGCTCAAGTACCTATGGCACAGAATTAGGGAATGGGACAGTGGGCAGGCAGAGAATCTTCAGCCCAAGGCTTGAAACTCTTAGGCTATGATTCTTCTTCCTTCTTTCACTGGCCCTTACTATCTACATTCTCTTCATCTCCCTACCCTACAATGTTTTGTTTTGTCTTCCCAGAAAATGAGAAAATGGAAAAGGCCCAAAGTGGACATGAGCAGAGACAGAAAAACCAGCTGAAAAAAACAGTTCAAGATGATTCTCAGACCAGAAACCAACAAAAAGGAGAAGACGGTGGTTTTAGTGAGTTCAGCATGGTTTGGAAAACTTACCTGGGCTTGAAAATTGAAGATAGAGATGGAGAGAGGCAAGGGTCAGGTTGCTGGAGGAAATTCTACAAAGACTGTAATTTATCTCTCATAGCTATTTGTCAGGGATATGCTGTGGAAGAGAAAGAATTCATTAATTCATTTATTCAGCGTATAATCCATAGTTGTTGGGTGCTTACTATATACCAGCAATTTTAGGAGGTGCTGAATAAATTCAGAAGAAATTAATATATGCCTGTTGGAAGGGAAGCGGGCTTGTGAGGAAGGCAAACAAGAAAGCTGCAAGTTGGGAGTAGATCTGGAAAAGTTTCCAAGAAAAGATACGGTTTGAGCCATATGTCAGAAGTATAATTTTTTTTTATTTTTTATTTTAAAGATTTTATTTATTTATTTGAGAGACAGAGAGAATGAGAGAGAAAGCACATGAGATGGGGGGAGGGTCAGAGGGAGAAGCAGACTCCCTGCTGAGCAGGGAGCCCGATGCGGGACTCGATCCCGGGACTCCAGGATCATGACCTGAGCCGAAGGCAGTTGCTTAACCAACTGAGCCACCCAGGCGCCCTGTCAGAAGTATAATTTAGTCAGGTGAACCGAGGTGGGGTTGGGGGTCAGAGTGATATTTATTGGCAAAGTTATGGAGGAGAGCTAATGGTTGTAGCTTTTGGGTGTATGTGGGGGTAGGAGGTTATAGGGGGAGATAAGGCTAGAAGCATGCAAGGGCCTTACATGTCAGGCTAAGGAATTTTAATTTAATTTAATTAAAAAATTTTTGAATTTTATTTTAAAAGTAAAGAGGAGGGACACCTGGGTGGCTCAGTTGTTGGGAGTCTGCCTTTGGCTCAGGTCATGATCCCGGGGTCCTGGGATTGAGCCCTGCATCGGGCTCTCTGCTCTGTGGGAAGCCTGCTTCTCCCTCCCCCACTCCCCCTGCTTGTGTTCCCTCTCTCGCTGTCTCTGTCTCTGTCGAATAAATAAATAAAATCTTAAAAAAAAAAAAAAGATAACCTGCTCTCAGAAGATGTTTAAAAAGAAAAAAAAGAAAGAAAAGAAAAATCTAGGCAGGGGCACCTTCGTGGCTCAGTAGTTGGGCATCTGCCTTTGGCTCGGGTCATGACCCCGGGGTCCTGGGATCGAGCCCCGCATCGGGCTCCCTGCTCAGCCGGAAGCCTGCTTCTCCCTCTCTCACTCCCCCTGCTTGTGTGCCTGCTCTCGCTCTCCTGTCAAATTAATTAATTAATTAATTAAAAATCTTAAAAAGAAAAAGAAAACTCTAGGTATCACACAGGATAGTCCAAGGCAATAAACTGCTTCTTGTGTTATGATGACATGGTAACATAAGGAGCCAGAGGTGTAAGTCTCATTTGGGCAATTGGGTGGTCTGGGTGGCGGTGTTCCATCTCCTGCACCTCTCGGTATTAAGGCAAGGATTGGATTTTCACTGGGAAATGGAAATCACTCCTTAGGCAGCGCTCATTGAGTCAAATTGTAATTGTCGTGAATGTGTAAGCCTCTGGCTATAAATGGACTGCTCTTCCTGTTTCTTCCAGTTGCCAGGGACAGGCGGGTCCTCCTGGAGTAGGAAGGAGAAAGGGCGGTATCCGATAAATACAATCCATTTGTATGAAGTGAGGGAAAAGAATGGAGTGTCATCACAGGAAATAAGGGAGACCTAATCAAGATTGGGCCAGTCAGGGAATGCAGCTGTAAGGAGATGGCTGTTAAGCTGAAATCTGAAGGAGAAGCAGGGAGTAGGAGAAGGAGTTTAGGGAGAGTGCAGTTTGGCATATGCTGCGTATTAAGAGGAAGTCAGTGTGATTGGAGTTTGGAGAGCAAAGAGAAGCAAGGCAGGAAAGTGGCTCTGGAGGGAGGTACAAAGTGAGGATTTTATCCTCAGTGCAGTGTGAAGCCACCGGTGAGTCTTCACCAGGGGAATGATGTCATCAAATTAGTATTTTAAGAGACTCCCTTTGGTGATTAATTGGCGAATGAAGTATGTAGGGACAAGAGTAGACAAGTGAGTCCTAGGATTAGATACTTTGGTGGCTTGGAGGAGGAGGATGAAAGTGGAAACAGAAGTGGATGGTTTTAAGATATGTTTTAGAGGTAAACTTGTCAAAACTTGGTAGTGAATTGGATATTGTGCGAGAGAGAGAGAGATGAGAATATGTTAAAGATGATTGGTTTCTGGCTTGAGCAGTTACATGAGAGAAGGTGGGGAAAAGTGGAGGAAGAACACATTGTGGGGTAAAATCAAGCATTTGGGTTTGGGCCTGTTAGGTTTGAGATCTTTGTGAGACATCCAAATGGTGATGTCAAAGAGCGAGGTGCCTGTAGGAATCTGGAGCTCAGAACAAAAGCTAGAAGTATTATTCATCTGTGTGTGGTCAGTGTGGAGATGGGTCTCAAACCCGTAGGAATGGGCGAGCTCGCCTCAGGAGAAAGTGTAGCATGGGAGCAAAGGCCTGTGACTGGGCTTTGGGACCCCAACATTTGGAGTGAGGGGTGAAAGAGGAGGAAAATGCCAGAAAGAGTGTGTGTGTGTGGGGGGGGGGCGAGACGGAAGGAGGAAGGATCACAGAACCCAAGGAAACGGGTGTCCACTGAAATGCTCTTTGTGTGTCTGTGACATCAGTCTTCATTATCATAGAGCTGTGTCGTGAGCCTCAAACAGTTTTCTGGGGCACATCATCCTCTCTTCTAAGTTGTTTGAAAGGAAACTTTATTTTTTTATTTATTTATTTTTTTTAAAGATTTTATTTATTTATTTGAGAGAGAGAGAGAATGAGAGAGAGAGAGTACGAGAGGGAAGAGGGTCAGAGGGAGAAGCAGACTCCCCGCTGAGCAGGGAGCCCGATGCGGGACTCGATCCCGGGACTCCAGGATCATGACCTGAGCCGAAGGCAGTCGCTTAACCAACTGATCACCCAGGCGCCCTGAAAGGAAACTTTAAAGAACCGTGTGTTGCTGTCATTAGAAATTTTATCCCAAGCCACACACATACCTAGTTCTACATCATTAGGATGACTTTTCCCCATTCATTTGCTCAGAATATTCATTATTTTCACAACCAACCATTTATTTTATTAATCTGTGTTTACTTTTATGGTCCCTGGCCCCTTCTCCCACTCTTTTTTCTAGTCTTGCTAGGTCTCCTCTATAAACATCAAAAACTATCATTGGCAGCTCTTTTTGTTTTGTTTTGTTCTGGTTTGGCTTTTTTGGATGATATTGTTTTTATGTATACAAAGTTTCCAGATTTTATATTATCATATCAAAGACACAAGATGCCAGCACATAGTGATCAGAAGAAAACCCAGGTAGGAAGCCAACACAGAAGGTTCCAGTGGACCTGGGCTAGCCGGGCCAGTGCAGAGTCCTGATACCACCGTCCATTGGCCCAGAGGCAGGGCTGGCTTGGTGGGCACCCTCACAGGAGGCCTGTGCCTGAGCCAGGTCCACAGGGGCTCTCTGTGGATTGCCCAGAGGCATCCGCCTCTAACTCCGAATTATAGTCCTTCTGTCTTGGTCCTTGCTCAACTTTCTCTGGTTGCTGAGGCAGAAGGTAAAGATCTGTTTGGGCTAGACGTTCTCATCATCATGGGACGGGGGTGGTGGCAGCAATGGAGGGGCTGCCCAGGAGCGCAGTGTGGAAGAAGGCAGGCCCCAAGTGGCATGGCTGCCTGTCAGTGCAGGCTTTGCCTACCAGCATTACCGGAGGCGTGGATCTCACTGACCCATGGTGGTTGCTGTGGTGCCGCACACACATGTGTGTTCCAGGCTCTGCTGCTGTCTTTTCAGACTAACGTATTGTTCCTGACCGGTGCTTTTTTCTTCAAAATAAAATAATTCAGAATGTGATGCATAATAGGAACTACCTTGAAAGGACCCAAATATAAGTCAACTGCTTCTCTGAGGCTGATTTCGGGGGGATGGAGGGCATCCCTTATATTCAGGCATGGAAGGTAAAACTTGACAGTGGGCAAGTGAACTCATTGGAGAAACATATTGGTTGGTATTGTTAATTGTGATGGTATGGTGTAGACCCATGTGCCTGGTTATGTGATATTTCTTTAGCAATGCTCAGTTGAATGAATGTAGGCACAGAAAAGGTAGAATGTGTTCATTCAAGGTTGTGTTGGGCCAGCTAGGTGGGAAGAAGGACAGAGGGCAAGGGAGTTGAAGATGTCTGCAAGAGAATCTAAGGAGTCAAACCTGAGTAGGTATAGTGAAGAAGGGAGGTCGCTACTAGATTGGGAAGAAGTTAGGGGGCAGTGGATTGGTGATCTAGATAAAGTGAAAGTTCTTTTTTTTTTTTTTTAAAGATTTTTATTTATTTATTTATTTGAGAGAGCGACAATGAGAAATGGAAAGAGAGCACATGAGAGCAGGGAGGGTCAGAGGGAGAAGCAGACTCCCCGCTGAGCAGGGAGCCTGATGCGGGACTCGATCCCAGGACTCCAGGATCATGACCTGAGCCGAAGGCAGTCGCTTAACCGACTGAGCCACCCAGGCGCCCCAAAGTGAAAGTTCTTTAGAGGTCTTTGGGCAAGTGAGGTGGAAGGATGGGGCATTTTTTATCAGAGAGGGATGTTTGGATAAGTGGGTTCAAGGGTGTGTGAGGTCCCTACGGGTGACTGAGTGGGGCATGCAGGAGGGGAGTGCATCACGGAAGTGAAGTGCATTACTGAGGTGTCATGGAGGAAAAGACCAAGGAACTCAGAGAATGGGGTGCTTCTTTGAGTTACTGCTTGAGAACAGTAGTCATCTGGAATGAGGGCAGGAGATGGATAGGAGGAGAAGGCTGAACCAGATGCCAGCATCTTTTCAAGGGAGATGAGAGGGCGGTGTAGTCCCATGGCATGGATCTCAAGGAAGGAAGGGTTGGTTTTTTTTTTTTTTTAAAGATTTTATTTATTTATTTGAGAGAGAGAGCACACGAGCAGGGAGAGGGGCAGAGGGAGAAGCAGACTCCTGTCTGAGTGGGGAGCCCGATGCGGGACTTGATCCCAGGACCCCAAGATCATGACCCGAGCTGAAGGCAGATGCTTAACCAACTGAGCCACCCAGGTGCCCCAGGAAGGGTTTTTATAGGAAGGGGGATAGTAATGGTCTGGAAGTGGTGATGAGTAAGGAAGATGCTGACCCTACTCTCTGGCCTGGGGTGTGAGAGAGGGAACAGACTCCACTTAGAGGGCTGTGGGTGGGGTGGGGTCGGGTAGGGGCATTGTCATTAGTGCATCACCAGGTTTCGAAAAGGAGATGGATGTTCAGAGAAGTTGAAGATATGTGGATTTTTTGTTGCTCTTGTCTAGAATTCTGAAGAACATGGTGGAAGGATTTGGGACAGAGAGAGGAGAGCCTGTGAGGGGCATTGGGTCAATTTAGCAGATGTTTGATAAAGAAAGGTGGGGGTAAAGGTTTGGAAGGTAATGGATAAAAGGAATGCTTGGCCTTTGAGCAAGGCCTGAAGTAAATAGTTGGTTGAGTTGGTAGGCTTATCTCTGTCTTTTGGAAGGGGTTAAACTCAGGGCTGTTGGTCCCAAAGACTGCAAATTGGTGATTTGGTGACAGGTAAATCAGCTGGGACTCAGGAACTCTGGATGTTGTACATAAAAGAGATGCTGGTTAGCTCTTCAAAAGAACTTTCCAGTAGTGACAGGCCAGCAGAGAACGAGGCACTAGCTGGAAAGATGCTGGCCAAATTTTTCAAGAACTGTCAATACAGGAAACACTTCTTTTCTCCTCAGGGGAAGGAGAGATTAATAGTATGGCATAGGAGAAAGATTGATATGTGAGACCTGGGGCCCGAGTTTAGCTCTGCTGCCAGTTTAGACTGATCTTCAGCAAGTCAGTTATCTTCTCTGAGCTTAGTTTTCCCATTTGTAAATCTAGGATTAGACTAGTTGATCCCTAAGGCTGTGTGATTTTGAAGGGAGTACATTGATTTTAGTTGGACTGAAGAAGGAAGGGCATATTTTTGTTTCATTTCAGTTTTTTTTTTTTCTTCTTGCAGGTCAATGTCTCGTCTGGGTCCAATGTTCCTCCCCAAACTGTGAGAAGTGGAGGCGGCTTCGTGGGAACATTGACCCCTCAGTGCTTCCTGATAATTGGTCCTGTGATCAGAATACAGGTAGATAGGACTGGAGATGGTTGGGTTTCTTTTTTGTTTTTTAGTTTTTAATGGTTCTTCCCTTTCTTTCTCTGTATGTATCCCTTAGATTAAATATGTCATAAATGTAGTTATAATTCCAGGGGTCCTTGTAGTGTTTGGGAGAGAGGAAGGGATCATCCTGTAATACCAAGATGAATCTGGCATAATGGGCTAGAAGAAGACACCCTGAAGAGTTATGTTGTGGGAAGGGCCTGGGATCTAAATGTAGATTCTGAGTGAATTCCCCTTTCTTCAGCATTAGTCTGACCCGGTTGATCCTGACTAGATTGTTGGTATTGGGTTGGTGGATAAGAAGGGATATGGGATATTTGGGGGGAAAGTAGGTGAGAGAGAGCCAGTCGCTTAGAATTCTAGAATGTTTGAAACCACTTGAAAGAGATTATGATGATCTAAGCCCAGCTCAATTATTTTCACAGATGAGATAACAGAGTCTCAGAAAAATGACTGTCATGATGTTATATAGATGGAAGCACTGTCAGATAATGTGGGATATAGGCCCAGGTTTAGAATCTCTGTAAAGTACAAGGAGGCAGCACTCCTCCTCTACCTGTAGTTGCATTTCCTCCACGGGTCTTTGTTCTTCCTCCATGCCTGTCTCCCAGGTGCACTTTTGGTCCCACCTGCTGCATATTCTTGTCCTCTCTTCTCCCCTCATCCAGATTTTTCCCTGATGGGGTTCTTTCCTTCCCTTCTCTCTTTTGCCAGACTCGAGGTACAATCGCTGTGACATCCCTGAGGAGTCCTGGACAGGGCGTGAGAGTGATGTGGCCTATGCCTCCTACATCCCAGGATCCATCATCTGGGCCAAGCAATACGGTTACCCCTGGTAGGGCACCATGGCATAGTCAGAGCATCCTTCATGAACTTGGAGGTGGTAGATTCAAGCGGAGAGGGAAGGAAATGGAAAGTATTTATAATGGAAATGGTACCTGCCTTAGAAAGAACATGGGATGAGGGAAAAGATAAAGTCCCAAGCCTGGAGGCTTTGAAAGAATGCATTTTCTAGAGGTTTCACAGGGAGGTATCTCCCTGGAAGAAAAGGTCTACCAATGCTACCCTGAGTGGATAGAAAAAGGAAGGTGGCTTTAAGGCCATTTTTAAACATTGAGTTATGACATATATATAAAGTAGAGAGAATGAAGATGGGTAGGATAGTTTCTTCTCTGGAGATGTCCCTAATCAGAAGATTTTTTCTCAGGGTTGATGGAAGGCCTAGAAGGGTAAGATACTCTTACTAGGAAGATTTTGAGTTTCTTTGCACACTGATAGAAGTCTCTTTAGTCATTTGGTAGATTACTGAGGGAGATCCACAAGGAGGGGTCTATCTTTGAGATCCTTTTTTTTTTTTTTTTTTTTTGCAAAACATATTTCCCCTTTCTGTACATGTGTATTGATGAGTTTATGTTGTGTTCATCTGAACCCTTCCTCTTCTGTCCCCTAAACCTGTTTGTTTTCTCCAGGTGGCCAGGCATGGTAGAATCTGATCCTGACCTGGGGGAATATTTTCTTTTTGCTTCTCATCTTGATTCCCTGCCGGTGAGTTTTCCTGGCTCAGGCCAAAGTAATGAGCAAATCCATCCTAACAGGGGTACAGAATTAGAAGCAGACGTAGCCAGCAGACATCAGCAGAAACACTTAACTTAACTAGAGTGACAAAGACAGAAATAACTACCCACATATAAAAATCAACTTGTATCTAATTAAATATTTAATCATTACTAGGACATTTATGGTTTTGGTAAATGTGCGTTGGTTAGGTTTCCTGAGGTCAGGACGGAAGAACAGACTGAGGTGGGGTAGGTGGGTCAGGTTTATGGCATCAGATGAGGCCCAGCACCTCCTTCCTTTTATGAATCCTGAGTTCTTCTCCCACCTTTTCTGGCTAGAGGGCCAAAGCAAGGAGAAAGACAAGAGGCCGTAAGAAAACCATTTTTTATTTCAGTCTAAATACCATGTGACATTTTTTGGAGAAACAGTCTCTCGTGCTTGGATCCCAGTCAACATGCTAAAGAACTTCCAGGAGCTGTCCCTGGAGCTAGCTGGAGTGGTAAGCAACCCCTGGGGGTCAATTGTGATACAGGGAACCTGAAAACTAAATCTGCCTTTTATTTAACCTGATTTTCTCCCAGGGGAAGCTGTGTTGGGAGAAAGTCCATGTCTGACCAAGTGTGCAAAGGTGAGGTTATTCATGAGGGACTCTCCTTTCTACCAGGATTGCAGCGGGATAATGATTTTTCTTAGTCTCCTTCCTTGCCTGCAGGTAGGGGGTCTTCCTGAAGACTGCAGTTTTCTACAGTTTAGCCAAGGCAGGTGTGGCAGAAATGAGGGCACATACCAACTCAGGGTTTCTCAGTCAGGTACCATTTGGGGCCTGATAATTCTTTGTTGTGGAGGGCAGTCCTGTGTATTTTAGCATGTTTAACAGCATCCCTGGCTCTACTGACATCTAGCCAGGGGATGCTACTGCCCCTGGCCTCAGTTGTGACAACCAAAAAAATTGTCTCTAGACATTGCCAAATATCTTCTGGGAGGCAACAACCTTCCTTGGTTGAGAACCACTGAATGAACTAAATAATATTTCCTGCCTATAATCACTTTGGGTTCAGCCAGCCTTAGAAATAAGCAGAGGCCCAGCAGCTCTGGGGCCTTCAAAAATTAAGCAGTATTAAATCAAGTCGCTGGATCTAAAGAAATTTGTGAGAAGCTTAAAAGTGGAATCACCTGAGCTCCTTTAATCTTGCCTCTCCAAATTTCCATGGGATTTACTGTGGAGAGGACACCAAAATGTTGGTTGACTGTATTGCTAGCAATTGGTAACAGGTTTGTTATGGGGGGATAAAGGGAGATTGTGTCTCTAAGCTCAAAAGATTAAGAATAGGAGTATCAGATCAATATCAGGAACTGGAAATAAATGTAGTTAAAGATCATGTCTGGTGAGTAGCAGTATGTTGGAGTCACTTACTTTTTTTTTTTTTTTTTAAAGATTGAGCAGGGAGCCCGATGCGGGGCTCGATCCCAGGACCCTGGGATCATGATCTGAGCCGCAGGCAGTCGCTTAACCAACTGAGCCACCCAGGCGCCCCAGGAGTCACTTCTTTAATATTTATCATTGACTTTAATCTTCCTCTATTTCAGAAAAAGTGCAGGAACAAGGACTGCAACCAGAAGCTGGGAGCAGCCCTGACGATGGCTCAAGAGGCAGAACAGATCAGTATACAGGTGAGTGTTCAGACTACACACCTGCTCCTCTTTGGGACTTGGGACACAAAGCAAACCATATACTCTGTACTACAGAAAAGTGACTTGTACTTTCCCATCATCCTGTCTTAGTCTTAGAATTAGTCTTTTCTTCCCAGGCCAGATTCCCTTGACTCCTTAAATCATTTATTCTTGGGGTGCCTGGGTGGCTTCGTTGGTTGAGCGACTGCCGTCGGCTCAGGTCATGATCCTGGAGTCCCGGGATCGAGTCCCGCATCCAGGTCATGATCCTGGAGTCCCAGGATCGAATCCCGCATCAGGCTCTCTGCTCAGCAGGGAGCCTGCTTCTCCCTCTGACCCTCCCCCGCCCCCATGCTCGCTCTCTCTCATTCTCTCTCTCTCAAATGGATAAATAAAATCTTAAAAAAAAAAATCATTTATTCTTTCCCTTACCCTTGGACAAATGGGATCTTCTCTCATCCCACAGAGAGACAGTTTGTAGTAGGGGGCATCCTACCTCCCTATTTAACTTTAGATCTCAGATGTATGTGTCTTAACCTCTCTTATGCAGGGTCAGTGTTTACCCTCAAATTCTGCCTTTGGGGGTGCAGTGGAGAATGACAAACTGAATTATAAATAAACTGGAAAAAAGAGATTATAGTAATATAGCATATAATTATATAACATAATATAAATATTATAAAGATAATATTATAATAGTTAATCTTCACAGAAATTGAGATAAACAGAACATGAAATTTCAAGTAAAATTGGTATAGAATATGAATATAAAGCCCATAACTAAAGTCTTAAGGACAACAAAAATCATCCCTGGGAGATAGTGGATGATGCTTTTTTTCTCGGTTGCCTCAGGAACGGGTTAACTTGTTTGGTTTCTGGAGCCGATACAATGGATCTGACAGTCGTGGGGAAGGAAAAGGTAGGATCAGTAGGGGGATGAGGGCCAGAGAAGGAGGTGAGGAGAGGACGTAGAGAGGGAGGTCCTTCCTGCGGGCAGCAACTGAACCTTTATTTTACATCCAGTGTCACCCACCTAGTTCTGGATTCTAACAGGAGGCTCTGCATGAATGCCATTGACCAAGTGTCCAGGGTGGATGGATGGATAGATGGATGGGTGAAGAGAGGAACGGAGAAAAAAGGAGGGTGGGAAGGGAGGGTGCCTGTTGAAGAGCGGTGGGACTTTGGAAAAGGTGGTGCCGTGATAATCTAGGGCCATGTTTTATGGAGAAAATACCGCTGGGACATGAAAGGCAGAGTTAGAAGACTGCTTCTCTGGGATCAGTGCCATTAAATCATCCATCTAATTTATTGGATAAATTCTTTGGCCTTTCCTTCCTATTCCTGTTCTAGACGTAAGGCTTTCTGGGGCTAACAGCCCAGATTCCTGCTTGGAGAAAGAAGAGGAAGAGTCAGAGTTGGAGGCGAAGGAGTTGGAAGAGGAGGAAGAGAAAAAAGTAAGATTGATCTTGGGAATTGCTTTTAGGAGATTCCTGTAGGACGTCTGGTTGGCATGGATTTATACTTACCAGGGAACCATCCTGTGCCTGGCTTAGGGTGGCCCTGACTCGCTGGTCTTACCTCTTAGGGGTCTTCAGGGAAGGGGACTCTCCTCTTTCCTCAGTTATTCTCTCTAATATATCACATTTCTAGGAACTTTTTTCTTGGTTATCATCTCAGTTCTCAATGTAGTGCTTTGGTTCTTACTGGAGCAATTTCAGCGAATAGGAGGTTGCCTCTCTTCACTGTCTGTCCTCCCCTGTGTGGACACTTAATCTTAAGCGTCTTAATTAGTCATTCACTTGCCTCCTTAGGCTCTTTCCAAGCATATGAAATATAGATTTTAAAAAAAATTTTAAAGGGGCGCCTGGGTGGCTCAGTCGTTGAGCGTCTGCCTTCGGCTCAGGTCATGATCCCAGGGTCCTGGGATCGGGCCCCGCATCGGGCTCCCTGCTCCGCGGGAAGCCTGCTTCTCCCTCTCCCGCTCCCCCGGCTTGTGTTCCCTCTCTCCCTGTGTCTCTCTCTGTCAAATAAATAAATAATTTTTTTATTTTTTTATTTTTATTTTTTTTTTTTAAAGATTTTATTTATTTATTTGAGAGAGAGAGAATGAGAGATAGAGAGCACAAGAGGGAAGAGGGTCAGAGGGAGAAGCAGACTCCCCGCCGAGCAGGGAGCCCGATGCGGGACTCGATCCCGGGACTCCAGGATCATGACCTGAGCCGAAGGCAGTCGCTTAACCAACTGAGCCACCCAGGCGCCCAATAAATAATTTTTTTAAAGATTTATTTATTTATTTGAGAGAAAGAGAGAGTGTGGGGGATGAAGAGGAGGACACAGGGGATGCAGAAGGAGAGGGAGAGAGAATCCCAAGCAGACTCTGTGCTGAGTGGGAGCCCAGGGCAGAGCTTGATCTCATGACCCTGAGATCATGACCTGAGCCGAAACCAAGGTTGGATGCTTTAACTGAGTCACCCAGGCGCCCCAGCCTGAAATACAGATTTAAAAAAAAGTACAGAGAGTTCCCGTATCCCTCCTGTCTCTACACGTGCACAGCCTTTCCCATTATCAACACCCCCCCAGAGTGGTGTATTTGTTTACAGTTGATGAACCTACACTGGCACATTATAATCACCCAAAGCCCATTGTTTACAGTAGGATTCATTCTTGGAGTTGTTATATTCTATGGGTTTGGACAAATATAGAACAATATGTATACATCATTATAGGATCATACAGAATATTTTCACAGCCCTGAAAATCCTGTGTGCTCTACTTATTCACCCCTCTCCCTGCAACCCCTGACAACCCCTGATCTTTTTATTGTCTCAATAGTTTTGCCCTCTCGAGAACATCATATAGTTGGAATCAGACTGGCTTCTGAGAAATATACATTTAAGTTTCCTTCATGTCTTTTCATGGTTTGATAGCTTGTATCTTTTTTTTTATCTGAATTTTTCCATTTTCTGGATGTACCGTATTTATTTATTCATTCACTTACTGAAAGATATCTTCGTTGCTTCCAAATTTGGACAATTATGAATAAAGCTGCTATGAACTGCTGCATACAGGCTTTTGTGAGAACATAAGTTTTCAACTCCTTTGGGTAAATACCAAGGAGCTTGATTGCTGGATTGTATGGTAAGAGCATGTTTAGTTTTGTAAGAGAACAAACTGTCTTCCAAAGTGGCTATACCATTTTGCATTCCCATCAGCATTGAATGAGATTTTTTGTTGTTCCACATCCTTGCTAATATTTGGTGTTGTCAGTGTTCCACATTTTAGCCATTCTAATAGGTGTGCAGTGGTATTTCATTGTTGTTTTAATTTGCATTTCCCTGATGACGTATGATCTGGAGCATCTTTTCATATTCCTATTGGCCATCTGTACATCTTCTTTGGTGATGTGCCCATTAAAATGGTTGGTCCACTCATTTAATTGGGTTATTTATTTTTTTTATTGTGGAGTTTTATGAGTTGTTTATATTTAGGTAACAGTCCTCAATCAGATGTGTCTTTTACCAATATTTTCTCCCAGTCTGTGACTGTTTTTCTCATTCTCTTGACATTGTCTTTTGCAGAGTGGATGTTTTTACATTTATTTATTTATTTATTATTTTTTTAATTTTTAATTTTTAATTTTTTTTAAAGATTTTACTTATTTATTTGACAGAGAGAGACACAGCGAGAGAGGGAACACAAGCAGGGGGAGTGGGAGAGGGAGAAGCAGGCTTCCCACAGAGCAGGGAGCCCGATGTGGGGCTCGATCTCAGGACCCTGGGATCATGACCTGAGCCGAAGGCAGGCTCTTAACCATCTGAGCCACCCAGGCGCCCGATGTTTTTAATTTTAATGAAGTCAGTCTATTAATTGTTTCTTTCATGGATCATGCCTTTGGTGTTGTATATAAAAAGTCACTGCCATACCCAAGGTTATCTATATTTTCTCCTATGTTATCTTCTAGGAGTTTTACAGTTTTACATTTTTACATTAGATCTATAATACATTTTGAGTAAATTTTTGTGAAGGGTGTAAGGCTATGTCTAGGTTCATTTTTTTTGCATGTGGATGTCCAGTTGTTCCAGCATATTTGTTGAAAAAACTGTCATTGCCTTTGCTCTTTTGTCAAAGATCAGCTGACTTTTTTTTTTTAAAGATTTTATTTATTTATTCATGAGAGACACAGAGATAGAGAGGCAGAGGGAGAAGCAGGCTCCCAAGGAGCAGGGAGCCCGATGCGGGACTCGATCCCAGGACCCTGGGATCATGACCTGAGCCGAAGGCAGACGCTTAACCATCTGAGCCACCCAGGTGCCCTCAGCTGACTGTTTTTATGTGGGTCTATTTTGGGGCTCTCTGTTCTGTCCCATTGACCCATTTGTTCTTTTGCCAGTTCTACACTGTCTTGATTACTATAGCTTTATAGTAAGTATTAAAGTTGGCTAGGGTCATTCCTCCAGCTTTGTCCTTCTTCAGTATTGTGTTGGCTGTTCTGGGTCTTTTGCCGTTCCATATAACTGTAGAATCAGTTTATTGATACCTACAAAATAACTTGCTTGGGTTTTGTTTGGAATTGCATTGACTCTATATATCAAGCTGGGAAAAACTGTTGAAATATTAAGTCTTCCTGTCCACAAACATGGAATATCTATTTATTTAATTCTTTGGTTTTCATCAGAGTTTTGTAATTTTACTCATACAGATCTTGTACATATTTTGTTAGAATTATACCTAAGTATTTAAATTTTTTGGTGCTACTATAAAGGGTTTTGTGTTTTTAATATCAAATTCCATTGTTCATTGCTGGTATATAAGAAAGTGATTGACTTTTATATATGAACCTGTATCCTGCAACCTTGCTATGTTTATTAGTTCTGGAGTTTTTGTTGATCCTCTTGGATTTTTCTATATAGGCGATTATGTTATCTGCAAACAGAGATTGTTTTCCAGTTGGTCCTTGAACAGGTTTGAACTATGCGGGTCCACTTATATGTGGATTTTTTTCCCCATAAATATAGTGCAGTACTGTAAATATGTATTCTCTTCCTTATGATTTTAATATCTTCTTTTCTCTACATTTATTGTAAGAATACAGTATATAATACATATAATATACAAAATACATGTGAATCATCTGTGTTATTGGTAAGGCTTCCAGTCAACAGTAGGCTATTAGTAGTTAAGTTTTGGGGGAGTAAAAAATTATACACAGATTTTCCACTGTGTGAGGGGTCAGCTCCCCTAACCCCTGCACTGTTTAAAGGTCAACTGTATTTATTTCTTCTTGTCTTACCGCATTAGCTAGAACTTCCAATATGATGTTGAAAAGGAGTGATGAGAGGAGACATCCTTGCTTTGTTCCTGATCTTAGGGGGAAGGCTTCTAGTTTCTCAGCATTAAGTATGATATTAGTTATAGGTTTTTTGTTTTTAAAGATTTTTATTTATTTATTTGAGAGAGAGAATGAGATAGAGAGCACGAGAGGGGAGAGGGTCAGAGGGAGAAGCAGACTCCCCGTTGAGCAGGGAGCCCGATGCGGGACTCAATCCCGGGACTCCAGGATCATGACCTGAGCCGAAGGCAGTCGCTCAACCAACTGAGCCACCCAGGCGCCCTAGTTATAGGTTTTTTGTAGATGTTCTTTGTCGACTTGAGGAAGTTACCCTCTCTTCTTAGTTTACTGAGAGTTTTGACCATGAATGGGTGTTGGATTTTGTCAAACGCTTTTTCTATATCTATTGATAGGATCATGTGATTTTTCTTTTTTTGCCCCTTGATGTGATGGATTACATTAATTGATTTTCAAACGTCAAACCAGTCTTGCATGCCTTGAATAGATCCCATTTGTTCATGGTGTATAATTCTGTTTATACATTGTTGGATTTAATTTACTAATATTTTGTTGAGGATTTTTGTATCTCTTTTCATAAGAGATATTGGCCTATAGTTTTTTTTTTGTAGTGTCTTTGACTGGTTTTGGTATTCAGGTAATGGTGGCCTCATAGAATGAGTTAAGAAGTATTCTCTGCAAGAGATTATAGAGAATAGGCATAATTTCTTCCCTAATTCACCAGTGAACCCATAGGTCTGGTGCTTTCTGTCTTGGAAGGTTGGCTACAGGTTACTGATTCAATTTTGTTAATAGATATAGACCTATTCAGATTGTCTGTTTCTTCTTGTGTGAATTTAGACAGATTATATCTTTTAAGGAATCGGTCCATTTCCTCTTGGTTATCAAATTTGTTTGCATAGAATTATTCATAGTATTCCTTTATTATCCTTTTAATGCTCATGGGCTCTGTAGTATATTTTCCAATATTAGTAATTTGTTTCCTCTCTTTTTCTTGGTTAGCTTGGCTAGAGTCTTATCAATTTTATTGATCTTTTCAAAGAACCAGCTTTTTTTGTTTCATTGGTTTTCTCTACTAATTTCCTGTTCTCATAATACCATCAATTT